GGCGCCGCGAGAGCCTCCGCAGAGCTCCGTAGGGACCGGAGGTGCCGCAGGGCAGGGGTCACAGAACCGGAGAATCATTATAAAATCATAGAATCATGGTTGGAAGAGACCTTCATATCACTGAGTCCAGTCATAAACCCACCCCACCGTGCCTGCTAAACCGTGTCCCTAAGTGCCTCATCTACACACTTCTTGATCACTGCCAGGGACGGTGACCCATCACCTCCCTGGGCAGCCTGTTCTGAGTCTTCACTACTCTTTTCATGTAGAAATTCGTCCTAATGTCCACCCTGAGCTCCTCCTGGTACAACCTGAGGCCATTTCCTCTTGTTCTATCTGTAGTTATTCTGGAGAAGAGATTGACCCCCCACCTCACTACAGCCTCTTTTCATGTAGTGGTAGAGAGCAATAAGGTCTCCCCTGAGCCTCCTCTTCCCCAGACTAAACAACCCCGGCTCCCTCAGCCGCTTCTCGTAAGGTCTGTGCTCCAGCACCGCACCAGCTTCGCTGCCCTTCTCTGAACACGGACCCGTCTGGAAGCTCCCCGTGGTGCGGGGCAGAGCGGTGCTTCCCCCGCTGCTCCTGCCCCGCTTCCCTCGGCACCCACCGGGGCTCTGTTCTGCAGGCGGGCCACAGAGCAGGCTCCGCATTAGCCTGGGCTAATGAGCACTATTAGCCTAGAGCTGCCTCCACAACAAATGCACGTGGAGCCTGAGAGTCAGTAACCTGATATGGATACAGGCAGGTTATATTCCACTGTACATGAATGGGCATCTCATGGGAGTTTTGGACAAAGTTTGTCCTTCTGGAACACAGCAGGAAAATGGCTTGTGTTTGAGGAAGCCCAGTTGAGAAAAGGTGCTCTTCTTTCTTCATCTGTCACTTGTGCTTTTTGTGCAGGCAAGCAGTGGGTATGGATATAGATTTGGATGGTATTTCCTCAGTCTCTTCTCTGCAGTCCCTTGCCAAGCTACTTAGTGATCCTCAAGAAGATGATGATGATGACAAAGGCTGTGGGGTAAGTCTTCTACAAGAAACGTTGCTTCTTCTATGTGTCGTACCGTTGTCTCACCTCCTTAACTAAGCAGCAGAAAATTTGGCTTTTCTCAGTGTGAATAAAGAAAATCTTACAAAGTTTTGGACCATCTGAAAAAGCTAGAAGTGGTTTTCAGAGTAAGAATCTCCTGAGGGAGAAATTAAAGAAGATGGACAGGGAATAGGAGAAGAGATGTCTATGGGATGGCAGGAAGATTTATTTTCTCAACTATAAAGAAAATAAAAAGGTGTATTTGAAAGA